CTAGCCTTGAGCTGAAGAGCTGAGGGACAGTGCCCAGGCCCAGAGTTCAGGCCCCATGACTCGACCCCGCCCCCCCCAAAAAAAAGAATGTTAAAGATAAATAAAATGGTGTCTTTGCCTTCAAGAGACTCCCAATCTAAACAATTACAATGAAAGTCACAAAAGCTACCCTGGAAATTATGTACAAAGTCCCCTGAAAGCTGAAAAAGAAATACTGGTAATAAAAGTAATCAGAGGTGGGGGGGGGCGGGGAGGCTGGGAAGGGATGTGAAGGATAAACAAAGGAGGAGGCTGCAATGCTTGGTAAGAAATGTACTCATTATCTTGCCCATGTAATTGTAACCCCTCTGTACAGTATGTTCACAAAAAATTAAAATTAAAATTAAAAAAAAATAAAAATAATCAGGGTACTCAATAAGCATAAACAAATAATACTGTTATGATATTTAGGGCTGACTTACTGGTTTTTGTTTAAGTCTATAATAGTCCTACCCAGCAATGTTAGCATCATTCTCATTTTATAGGGGCTCTGAGTGGGGCACAGAAAGTGGAAACAACTCACAGTCACATCTAGTTCATGTTGTGATCAGGGTTGGATACCAGACTTGGCTCCAGAGGCCCTGCTCTTTTTGTTTGTTTTTTGGTCGTGGGGACTGAACTCTGGCTAGCGCTCTACCACTTGAACCACAGCGCCACTTCCGGCTTTTTGCTTATGTGGTACTGAGGAATCGAACCCAGGGCCTCAGGCATGCAAGGCAAGCGCTCTACCACTGAGCCATCTTCCCAGCCCTCTGTACTTATTTTTTGAGATGAGTTCCAAATTCTGCTTCAGAAAGTTTGTTCCTGGGTTGGGCCTGGGTAACTGTGGGGGTGAAGACATACCCTTCAAACTCACAGCTTGGAAGAGAGTAGAATGCTTAGAACAACTGGAAGATAGAAAAGCTGTATGGTCAATGTCCAATGAACAGGACTCTGGCCATATTCTGACATCAATTCATGTAATTGAGCTAAAAACCTTGTTCAGTAAGAAATTCATCATCACCTTCGTGACACCGAACTTTTAAGAGTGTAATGCTAAGCCAGGCACTGGTGGCTCACGCCTGTAATCCTAGCTACTCAGGAGGCTGAGATCTGAGGATCATGGTTCAAAGCCAGCCCGGGCAGGAAAGACTGTGAGACTCCTATCTCCAATAAACCACCAGAAAACCGGAAGTGGCGCTGTAGCTCAAGTGGTAGAGCACTCGCCTTGAACTGAAGAGCTGAGGGACAGCACCCAGGCCCAGAGTTCAAGCCCCACGACCGACACACACAAAAAAAGAGAGTGTAATGCTAAAAGATACTAATTTACTATCTTGCTTAAGTACATAAAAAGCCAGACTGGAATCCAAGATTCTGGCCTTCCTTCCTTTTTGGGAGGTAGAGTAGGGGAGAAGAAATTGACGATAGGCCCTTGTGATCTAGTCAAGCATTCTACTTTGGGGTTACATTCCCCACACTCTCTGATCTTCTCTTACTGTTCTCTGTCCACCCTTATTTCTTTGTAGGAGGCCTCCGGATCAGATGCAATAAAAGAATAAAGCTAACCTATTATTCATAAAATGAACAACATGGGATAAACAATCTTTTTTTTTTTTTTTTTGCCTGTCCTAGGGCTTGAAGTTAGGGCCTGGGCACTGTTCCTGAGCTTCTTTTGCTCAAGGCTAGCACTCTACCACTTGAGCCACAGTGCCACTGCTGGCTTTTTCTGTTTATATGGTACTGAGGAATCAAACCCAGAGTTTCAGATGCTGGACAAGCATTCTACGATTAAGCCACGTTCCTAGACCAATCTTTTTAACTTTCTTCAAAAATGAAAAATGGATGACTTTCCAAAAGGCATTAACAGTTCTCTACACCCTCCACTAAGACCTGGGAAACTCTCTTAATCCCTTTCATTTTTGGGGGGGGGGGCATGTGCATACCTGCCTGTCTTCCTGACAGTCCAGGGGCTTGAACTAGAGGCTGGGTACTGTCCCTAACTTTCTGCTCAAGGCTAGTACTCTACCACTTGAGCCACAGCTCTACTTTCAGCTTTTTTGATAGTTAATTGGAGATCTGATTCTCACAGAGTTCCTTGCCTGGACTGGCTTCGACTGACACAGTCCACGGATCTCAGCCTCCAGAGTAGCTAGGATTCCAGGAGTGAGCCACCCACTCCCAGCAGGCTTTCCTCTTTTAAATGAGGTAAGTCAACAGTGAGAACTATGTCT